CCCCCCCCAAGCACCAAGAAGACAGAGCATCACTTGCCCCAGAGCCCCTATCTATACAAGTTAGCTGTTCTAATATCATCCCAATACCAGAGATGAACAATGCCCTTGTCTTAGGGGAAACACAGTGCATGCTTGTGCAAAGGAAAGGAGAGGAACTTTCTAAGGGGAGAAAGTGCTAGGGTAGAGAGAGGAAGGAGAGATTGGATTTATACCCCGCCCTTCACTCGGAGTCTCAGAGCGGCTTACAATCCCCTTCCCCTCTCCACAACGGACACCCTGTGAGGTAGGTAGGGCTGAGAGAGCTCTTTCGAGGACTACTCGTGAGAGAACAGCTCTGAGAGAACTTGTGACTGACCCAAGGTCACCCAGCTGGCTGCATGTGGAGGAGTGGGGAATCAAACCCGGTTCTCTCGGATGAGAGTCCGGGCTCCTAACCGCTACACCAAACTGGGTATGGAAGTCTCCACGTTCACTGCACTCCCTGAGCCCTGCTTTCATTGTGATGCGAGTGGAGGCAAAAGCGCTCACTCCCCTCAGGGACTCTGCAGGGGCACGGAGCCTCATTCCAAACCGGGATGCTGCCTGTGCAAGGCAGGTACCGCTGCGCAAGTTCAAAGCTTCAGCTACTCAGTCTGTGCAGGGTGCAAAGTCCCCCAGGAGACAGCTTCAGCCTCCCGTCAGCACCGCATTTAAATCCAGCCTCAGAGACAGAAGCGGAGACAGCTGCCACACGCCCTGTGGCCACTGAGTCATAAGAGGTTGTTTGTATTGGCACAAAGGCGGGGAAACATCACCTTTTAGATTCCAGAACCCGGATCGAGCGATTGGTGCGTGTCAAGTGCCGTCAAGTTGCTTACAATTTATGGTGACACTGTATATTAATAACTTCAGGCTCAAAAAGGTTATAGAATCCCAGAACCACAGAGTTGGAAGTGGCCCTAGAGGACATCTAGCCCAACCCCCTGCTCAATGCAGGACCAGCCTAGAGCATCCCTGACAAGGGTTTGTCCAGACACTGCTTGAAGACTGCCAGTGAGGGCGAGCTCACCACCTCCCTCAGCAGCTGATTCCACTGTTGCTCAACTGGGCTAGGACTTGGCCCTCCCCTCTCCGCAGCCCAGGGGTCATTTCGTGCAGGAGCGCACAGGAGCAGAGCTCCGGCAGTAAAGAGCCCAGGGGGCAGGCACTGCAACAAGCCCCACCCCCTGCTCCCAGAAGCCCTCAGTCAGAGCAAGAAGCAGCCAGGTAAGTTGCAGAGCTCCCCCCAGCCCCCCGGTTCAAAACAGTCCAGTGGCACCTTTAAGACCAAGTTTTATTCAGGTACAAGCTCTCCCTCCTCTGCGAGGACAGATCTGCATGTCCCCCCCATAGCTAGCAATCCGAAACAGTCCAGTGGAGCCTGAGCGGTGGGTGTTGCCTTCTGACATACTTCCGGTGACATCAGGGGGTGTGGCACATGCAAATGTTATGCTAATGAGTTATGCTAATGAGCTCCTGCACCTCTTTTTCTATTAAATGACCCCTGCCGCAGCCCTTCCTCCATCACTCGTCACTGACCCGCCAGACTCAGTGTCTTCAGCCTGAAGTCCATCCCGTACAAGATGATGAAACACATGGTGGAGTCCAACTTCCGGGCATCTTCTGGGTATCGTTCAAAATCCCGGGAATTCTTCCCCGGCCGGATCTCTTTGATTTCCCGAATATCCACTGCAAGACAAAGTAGAAAGGAGAGAACACATTAATGTTTGTTAAGAGGCCTGGCAGGGTTATAGTTTTGGGTCAAAGCCTTCCCTTCCCAGAATCAACCCCACCTTTGAGCATCGCGGACTGCAGAAGTGAGCGGCGACTCGCGAAAGCGCCTCCCCTGCCACATGTTTTTGTTAATCTTTAAGGTGCTCCTGCACTCTCGCTCTTTACTGCTGCGGCCACCAACGACTGACTTCCCACCACTATGCTGGCCATAATTAGAAAAGGAACAGGGAATAAAACTTCCGCTATTATACTGCCCCTATACCAGGGGTGGCCAAACTTGCTGAACGTAAGAGCCACACAGAATAAATGTAAGATGTTTTGAGAGCCGCAAGTCATAAACAAACTTTACGCATGTTTTTATTGGGGGGGGGGGAATATGCAAATTTGCTTTTTATTAACATTAAATGAGTCTGCCAAAAAAGGGGTGAAAAAGATATTGATAATGATATTTATTTGTCAAACGATATTTATTTGTTTGCTAATGATATTTATCTGTCTAAGAGAGAGAGGTGGAAAGAAAGAAAGAAAGAAAGAAAGAAAGAAAGAAAGAAAGAAAGAAAGAAAGAAAGAAAGAAAGAAAGAAAGAAAGAAAGAAAGAAAAGACAAAGGAAGCAAACAGATGGGGGAAGGAGGGAGGGAGAAAAGAAAGAAAGAAAGAAAGAAAGAAAGAAAGAAAGAAAGAAAGAAAGAGAAAGGAAGCAAACAGATGGGGGAAAGAGGGAGGGAGGGGGAAGGAAGGAAGGAAGGAAAGAAGAGAGAGAAAGAGAAAGGAAATGAAGGAAGAGACAAAGAAAGGTGGAAAGAAAGAACATGGAAAGAAAGCAAATAGATGGGGGGAGGAGGGAGAGGTGGAAAGAAAGCAACTTTAACTTTAAATGTGTCTTCTAACGCCCCCACCCCCATGCCAACTGGCTTGGCAAAGGAATTTAAAGAGACAAATGCCTTCTCCAAGCCAGCTGGTGGTGGCGGGGTGTGTGTGTGTCTTTGAGTACACATTTAAAGTTAAAGTTGCTTTCTTTCTCTGCTCACTCCACCTCAAGCCTACCCAGGGAGGGGAACACTGCTGGGCACAATATGTGTGAAAGAGCCACATGCGGCTCCTGAGCCGCAGCTTGGCCACCACTGCCTTATACTAATCTGTGGTGAGACCACATTTGGAATAGTGTGCCCAGTTCTGGTCCCTGCGCCTGAAAGAGGATATTGCAGAGCTTGAAAAGGTGCAGGGGAAAAACCCAACCTAAATGACCAGGGGTTATAGCAGCTATCCCACAAGGATCTGATGGCAACCTCGCAGGGTTTCCAAGGCAAGAGACGTTCAGAGGTGGTTTGCCATTGCCTGCCTCTGCATAGTGTTGGGAAAACTGGCAAAAATACTTAGATATTCAAAGTTTGCAATGCATCTTTGCTTCACTGGAGGCATTTCTTTCTGTGCAAAAAATGAGAGCCAGTTTGGTGTAGTGGTTAAGTGCGCGGACTCTAATCTGGGAGAACCGGGTTTGATTCCCCACTCCTCCACTTGCACCTGGCTGGATGACCTTGGGCAAGGCGTAGTTCTGATAAGAGCTGTCCTTGAAAAAAGAGCAGTTTCTGTCAGAGCTCTCTCAGCCCCACCTGCCTCACAGGGTGTCTGTTGTGGGGAGGGGAAGGGAAAGGAGTTTGTAAGCCACTCTGAGACACCTTTGGGTAGTGAAGGGCGGGGTATAAATCCAATCTCCTCTTCTTCGTCTTCTTCTACCTCCCAGGGTGCCTGTTGTGGGGAGGGGAAGGGAAAGGAGTTTGTAAGCTGCTCTAAGACACCTTTGGGTAGTGAAGGGCGGAGTATAAATCCAATCCCTTCTTCTCTTCTCTTCTTCTTCTAATTTCTAAGGGAAGGGTACATAGGAAAAGCTACAAAATAAAAGACCTATGGCCACATCTCTACGGTTACACGGTCTCACAGCAGCAACTGACCTTGATTGGTATGGGAAGACATGAAAGAGGTCTATGAAATTATGCTTGGTGTGGAGAGGGTGGGCAGGCCCTTCCCATAATACTAGAATCTGGGGTCATCCACTGAAGATGAAGGGTGGGAGTTTCTGGACAAGACACCAGGAAGTACTCCTTCACACAGTGCGTAGTTAGACAGTGGAACTCGCTGCCACTGGATGTGGTGACGGCTGCCAACGGGGCGTGGACAAACTTATGGGGGATGGAGCTATCAGTGGCTACTAATCACGATGGGTATTTACTCCCTCCAGGACGAGGGGCAATAGGTCTCTTTGTACCAGCTGCTGGGGAGCACATTGGATAGGAGAATGCCGTTGCACTAATCCTGTTCGTGGGCTTCCTAGGGGCCCCTGCTCAGCCACTGTGTGAGCACAAACTAGACTTTTTTTAATAAACTATTTTATTTTTTATAAGAGACAAAAAAACAAACATACAAAATTTGGGGATCCCATTTACAACATTATTTTGTCTGCTAAGTTACCTCATACATTGTCTAATTATAGTTTTTTATTTTTTCCACCATGTATTTTTGAATAAATCTTTGCTCATAACTAAAAATATTGCTCATATTTTCTTCTGATTCAGTTGTATGTCCATATGGTTTATTTGTTATACCCTTCCATCCGTTTATAAAACCTTGACTACGTATTCTCAAAGTTTCCTTCGTTTTCTCCTCTCAAAAATTAAAGTTAATTCATCCATCTCTGCAGTTTCAAGCATTTTATTTATAATTTCTTCTTTTTGAAGGTGCATCATATTTTTTCCAATATTTGGCATATAATATTCTTGCAGCTGTCACTACATATATAATAAGATAGGAATCTTGCTTTTTAAAGTTTTCTGGTAGTATATTCAATAAGAACAGTTCTGGTATATAAGGTATAGTACATTTTAAAATTTTTGTAACAATTCATGAATCCAAGACCAATATGTTTTAACTCTATCACACGTCCACCACATATGAAAAAAGACCCAACATTTTTTGACACTTCCAAACGATCATTTGGTAGGTCAGGATAAAACTTTCCTAATTTATCTGGAGTAATATACCATCTATAAAACGTTTTGTAAACTAGACTTGAAGGGACTATAGGTCTGATCCAGCACGGTTTGTCTTATGCTGTTATGTGCCCAAAACCACTATGCAAGCAAGTCAGTCTTCTAGGTGACTTAACCTAGCTACCACCCCGTATTAGATTCCAGAGTCAGACGCAATTTACACGATCCCTTGAGAAATATTTATACTGCATGAAAATCAATCAAAATTTTATTTTTT